GTACTCAGGGGCAGTCTGTATCTTACAAGAGAACAAGAGTAAGTGGTTCTGTGCACCTGGGATGAGACAAAAAGCACAGAATGACAACCTCAGTGTGACACAATCAGATAATTTAAAAACATTTAAAGTAACATTTAGTATATCCTTCAGAGAAGACATTTTTAGTACAGTTTGAATAAAAATGTTTAAACAGTGGCCATGAAAGCATCTTCCTTTTCCCATATATTTGCCTGCTACCTTACATGATGCATCTCTGCTGACACTGAGCCAAACTAGAACTATTACAGCAGAGCGTGCTGGTTGCTATGCCTTCTTTACAGTAAAGTCATTTTGCTGGGTTCCAGAAGCTCCAATTTGTTGTTGGGCAAACATGAAGACAGCCTGTGGTAAAGGGGGCAGACAGAATTTCATGCACTCGTGCCCTGCTGGCTTTGGCTGAATGGTCCAAGTTACATCCATTTCTCTTGTCCTGGGGTGTTAGGGCAGCTATAGGGGTTTTGCAGTTCAACATCAATGAAACCACTGGATTGGTTATTAACTGCATATTTATAACTGATAATGGAAGATGTGAATTAGGCCACGATTTCAGGTCACAAGTCAGGGGAGAGCAGATGAAGTGTGCGCTGCAGAGCCAGGTGGCCTGGTTCAAATTCTGCCACTCCTTATAGCAGTGAAACCACACAACTTAACTCATCTCCGCATTTCTGTCTGCTCAGCTGTAGAATGGTGAGAGTAGCGGCACTTCTCTCAATGGGTTGTTTTGAAGATTAAATAAGATAATTGATGTAAAGCCCTTAGAAGTGTGGCAGCACACTGTCATTCTCAACGGAGATTTTTGAAAGAACCTGGTTCTCTTTTGTTTGAGGACAGAGGCTAGAAATGGACATGCCCCCCTGCCCCCACATCTTTGATGTTACAAAAGGAAGACACAGAATGTTCAATTACAATCCCTCCACACCCCTTTAAGACCTTTTTCTTGCTATTCTTTTCGTAGCAATTATCCCAGAATTAAAATAAAAATAACAAAAACAACAGGAGTTTACCAAAGAGCTAGATATTGTTAGGATAGGGGAAAAAATGATTTTTTCAAACTCTCTAGAAGGATGCAAAGTAGCAATTAGTGATGAAGAAAATGAAGCCCTAAGGCAAAAAGTAGGTGGGTTACACCCTCAGGTGTTATATAGGGTTTTATATGAACAGATTTTAATAACAGCAGCCCCTTTGTGAGAGAGAATCTGGCAGAAGACTGGCACGCAAGAGTGATAGTCAAAATCTAGAGCTGGCAGAGACTTTGATCAGGTTTGGCCATCCACAGTTCGTAGATAAGAGTGAGCCTCAAAGAGATTAAATGATATTGCTTCAGATGACACAGGGAGGTAGTGTCAGATTTAGAAGCCAGACTCCCAAAACCAGCCCAATGATCCTAGAAAGACAGAGAAGGGGCTTAGAGTCAAATAGACCTGTACTGAATCCTGGCTTTGTCACTTTCCAGCTAAGTGACCTCACTGATCCTCCTCATTCTCCTGTATAAAATGGAGGTAGTAATAGGATCAACCTTATAGACTTGTAAAGATCAAAAGAGAGAATGTAGCAGCTTAGCCCAGTATCTGGCATGGGTAGTGCTCAATGAATGACAGTTATTATTATTTCAAGCTTTTTCAGCAGGTTGCTGTATGAATATGAATGAGCCATATCCTATGATTCACTTTCCACTTAGGTAAAATGATTGAGTTCTCTGTGAAAGACATGAGTATTTCACTGAGTCACAGGGACGACGTTTGCATAATGTTAAAAGGGGCTTGGGGCAAAAAGAATGTAAAGTAATATTAAACTGGTGTTAACATCATGACATTTTTATTTGGGGTGCAGATTTCACACAGATTATCCTGGAGCGTCTGTGTAGGAACTGGGGCGCGTTAATAAGCAAAGGTAAGAAGACCGTCAGGGGTAATTCCGGTGTTCAAAACAGTTCCAGATGAAAGGATAATACACACAGCATTTTGAAATATTTTTTCAAATCACTTCCATCGTACTCGTGAGCTCACGATAAAGCAAATATGCAGAGCAGTGCAACATCTAATCTACAAGGGCTTCTTTTAGAAAGTAGTTTGAAGATAAATAAAATAAACTACAGTTTACACAGCTGGTAGCTAAACAAATGGAATTTATTGCCCTAAAGGGGAATACGACTAGGTTGAAGAAAGGTTTAGATAAATCCATGGATGATGGATCTTTAAGGAGTTCTTAAGGGAAAGTTAAGAGTTATTCAGTGTACATGCCTGAAGTTTGAGGTTGGTGTTGTTAAGAACAACAATTTGGCTCTTCTAACAGAATTGCACTGTTAGTCCCCTGGTATGGGTGGACTTTTATTTTGATTCGACATGGAATTTCTTGTGTCCTAACATAGGGCAAAAATGATTTGTAGAGCAGTGATATGTGGCAATACTTGCTCAGCTTATTAAGTGGATTGCCTGTGGTTTTGAAAAGCTTCCTCCTCTTAATAGTCGTATTGGAATTCACTGAGTGGCAAGAACACAGCACACTACCTTAAGGGTCACTCTTGCATAAGACATTAATGTATCAGTCCCTAATTTGGAAACCTGTGGTCACTCAGCAAGACAGAACTTGTTTCTCTCCCTTGGTGTAATGACTTTTATCTTGTCATCTCTCTTGGGGTAATTCCTTGCAGGCTTGGCATGTTGAGAATCGAATACTGCCTCTAACAATATGGTTGTGATTCTCTGCTTGGCTGATTTAGCTCGGTATTTAAGTAACCACTAATCTTCTGAAAGCACCAGGGTCTACTTAGAGAAATCCCTGTTGTCTGCAAGGATGGAAACAAAATCAGCATGGAGGAAGCATTAGTTACTAAACACAAATCAATCTTTTTTTTTTTTTTTTCCCACCTCACTGTACACTATGTCACCATCAAAGGCGTGGTTTCTGGGCAGTAAGTCTTCATTTTGTAGGTGCAGGAGCAGCTCATGTCTGACAAGCAGAGAAGATGAGTCAGGGAAGTGGAAGGGTAGAAAGAGAGTTTATTGAAGCTTCTAAGTATGAATCAAACTACATTCGAATGGATGAATCACAAACGTGGAGTGAAAGAAGACAGATACAACAGAATGTTCTCTAAAATGTCCTTTACTAAAGTTCAAAAACAGGTAAAACCAATCTTTTGTAACTGGGTAGGGGCACAAGGTAGCTATCTGGGTGCTAGAAACCTAAGCAAGTTCACTGAGCTCTGATGTGTTGACTTCATGACTTGACGATTTATAGGCTTTGGAGAATGTGTGTTATATTTCAATAAGAAGGTTACTTAAAAAAACACATCCCAATATGTACTTTTTGATTTGAAGGAAAAGTAGTTTGACATTTTCAAACTTTTATACATATGGGTTTGTCAGCGTTAATTTGGATGATCTTTGCTTTGATTACCTTGATATTCTGCGTTAAGATTTATTAGACTCTGAATGTTCTAAAATTATTCATTTCACACTGCTGGGACAAATCTGGTCTACAATGATGAGAAAGAAATCACCCAAAGTCAAGTTCAGACGTAAGAAAAACACTTGAAGATATAGAATGAAACCAAACTCACAGGTCCATTTGTGTATGACTTCATGGAGATGGAAACAGAATGACATTATCTGAGCATCCCAAAACAGAATGACTTATCATCTGAGCAACTCTGTTGCTAAACATCTGCTCACAGAAGACAAGAAGTCCCTATTTAAGGAGCAAGCAGGCACTGCTTTTAAAATCAGGAGCCCTAGAATCTCTTCCTGGCTTTGTAACAGAGGCATAAAACATCACATCTCTCTTCACTGTACCTTGGTTCCCTGTGCGTAAAATTAAGGGAAAGCATATGAATGAGAGACTGTCTTGGAAAGAGTTTTGAGCTCCTAATGAAATGTGACATACATATAACTGTTTCAGAAAAATACTGAAGATTATCACTAATAAAGATAATGGCAAGAAGTAGAACTGTCATGTGCACATAGTAGAGGAGGCTTGTGATATGCAGAAAAGAGGCAGGAAGGAAAGAAAAGGAACCATGAACCTGCATTGCACATAGTATTTTTGGCCAGTCAATTCTATTGAATTGAAAATATGTTCCAGAGGGAAGGGGTGGGAAGAATCACTCTGATGGGAACAAATAAAACTGATAAATGGCCACAATCCTAGTTAGCCGTGAGCACTTATAAATACCACCTCTGACATCTGAGTTTTTCCCTGATTTAGCAGTTCCAACTGCTAGGTCATCCTAACGTATTGTTAGAGAAACAACAATATCCTAGTTTTTGCATTCCTTCAATTCTAACAGTTATTTATACCTTCTGCCGTATCATCAAAAAGTTGCTTTTGAAATGTTTAGGTATATTCTGAATATAGTCATTGAATTTTTACTGTCTTCTTTTCCTTAGGAGTCCAGAATATTTGTCTTTTAAATTGCTGCCAGGTATGTGACATTGGATCTGGCTTCAGCTGTAGAGAAACAAGGATTGTTTCAGGGAAAGAATGAATGACTAATCCTGCAGCAGAAGTTCTCGAAGGTCTATGTCGCACGCACCATCTGTCAGTAACTCAATGAAAGTCGGGTTTCAGGAAGACATTTTGGAAGCAAAGGAGAGACAGAGAAGAAAAAACATAATAAGCATGGCTTCTGACACTCCGGTTTCCTTCAGAGGACCAGGAATCAGGGTGTCAGGAGGAACCGGAAAGAGTAGAAAACCTCGAAACAGAATGAAGATCACATCTGCAAGACTGAACTGAGAATTTCCTTAGTTTTAGAAATTTTCCACAGAATTTATAAGATGCACTTAGCCATTTATTTAGGAAGCCCCATGCCTAGAACGAAGTTCAACAGTGTATCGGCTTAAACACAGGATGCAACATCATCAATCCCCTGGGCTATTTCAAGTACATCAGTAAAGAACACGGCCGAGCAATAACAATTCAGAGAGTTAAGGAAAATCTGTTTCCTCTGGTGAGCTCACCTTTTAGCTTTTGCTGAGATGGGCACCTAGCTTTTCTTTCCTGATCAAGCTTGCTGCATAGGGAATCTGTAAGATAAAAACAAGCAAAACTATCCAGGTGAGCAAAGTTTGGAGACATGTATAATGGAGACCCTTTATTGTGCCTAAATTTGAATGCTGGTGGATCTGCCCTTTGGACAAAAGGTCTCCATCTGCCCGGCAGTACGGGGCTTCTGGGGTATAGCATGTCTAAGGCCTGTTAAAAAGCATATCAGGACAGAACAGGTGATCACACTAGGTTGTTGCTACAGCTAGTCTCTGAGGTTCCTATGTGACATTTCACTAAACTTAATAATTTGCACTTAATAATATGGTACTTATTTTTATTTAGGTATGAAAATTAAGTTATTATGTTACAACGAATGTCCAAGGTCACAAAATAAGAATGTGATTACAAACTAGTTCAATGTAAGTTTTCATTTAATTAGAGTGAGGAGATATGCTATCATTATAAATCACAAATAAGATTAACTAAACACAAACTATTACTCTGGGTAATTTCCCAATAACTACTAAGAAGCATCAGAAATAATTGCACTGAATGGAAAATATGACCCTTGAGAATTCTACCTGGATAAACTTGAAAAGTACTTTTCAATACTGGGGTTTTGAATGAAAGTCTATCGCATTTGATATGCTACTTTTCATTAGAAAATTCAAATTGTTGAAACTGGACTACATGTATTATTTAGATTTGCCTCTCTACTAACCCTAGTCATGCTACTTACCTTCATCATTGTAAGGCTAAATTCAGGACTCTAATGATATAAATCTGTTTTACATTTAAAGAAATATTCAGCCTTCTAGAGTGTAACATGAACTATGGCTGATATTATGTAAAAGCAGTGAAGGAAAGAAAATTATAGTCATTCAAGTAGGTAATATTTTGAATACTGATATACATTCCCCATATCCCCAGCATATTTTTGTTTTGCTCTTCTGATCTACCAGCCCATAAACATGAACCTTTATTAATGGGAAGGAACTACAAATCTATAGTGATGCTTGTGGCTAAGACTAGCTGGACCATTTTGCCATAATAACTGGTTAGCTGAATCAAACAAGTCTTATTTTTTAAAAATTAATTTATTTATTTTTGGCTGCATTGGGTCTTCATTGCTGCGCACAGGCTTTCTCTAGTTGTGGCGAGCGGGGGCTACTCTTCGTTGCGGTGCGCGGACTTCTCATTGCGGTGGCTTCTCTTGTTGCAGAGCACAGGCTCTAGGCGCGTGGGCTTCGGGAGTTGTGGCACGTGGGCTCAGTAGTTGTAGCTCACAGGCTCTAGAGTGCAGATTCAGTAGTTGTGGTGCACGGGCTTAGTTGCTCCGCGGCAAGTGGGATCTTCCTGGCCCAAGGCTCGAACCCGTATCCCCCGCATTGGCAGGCGGATTCTTAACTACTGTGCCACCAGGGAAGCCCTCAAACAGTCTTTTTAATGAAAAAAAGAGAGAAGACTAAAATAGCCACCTCACTATCTTGATACACAGCCACAAGATGGATGTATACGATAGAGACATATCTGATAAAGGCCATAATAGCAGCATCGAAATTAATGGTTTATATAGGACCATAAATAGTTGTGTCCTAATCTCATATTTAGGACGAGAGCTGAGATTAGCTAGATAACTATGACAAGAATAGTTACACAGGGACCTACTCTAGTTACCTCTTCTTTCCACTCTGGGTTATGCTATACCTGCTATTAACAGAGACATACCTGAATCCTGATTTTCCATTATGGTGTATGAAACAATATGCCAAAACACATGGATCACCTCTTTCTTTAGATGCATGATGTCAGACAGCTTTGAATGGAATTCTATTATTTAGGATAACAAGTAGAAATGATGTAAACCTTGGGGTATAAGGGTTACCTAATAAAATGTATTTGTGTCACTCTCGCAGTTAGAAGGCATTCTCAACATCAAGATTAGATGCCACGAAGATTTAGTAAGTGTCTGTTCTGTGCCAGGCACTGCACGAGATAAGTTAATATCACCATGCGCCATCTCATCAAAGCCAGTAAACTACTCATCCTAACCCAAAGAAACCTGCCTGAAGGGCACTACTTTCAGATCTAAGTCTGAATGCCTTTTTCCTTTTTTCAGAAACAACAATGCAGCATTTCATTAAGATGGGAAGCTGATAAGGAAATTTAAAAAAGGACTCAGGAAAAAAAGGACATTTCCAAATAATCACATTTGATCCCCAAATCTCCGGACTGAAATTTAAATCTGTGTGAAGAATTATTAATCTCAGGTTGTGAGCTGAGACTCATTAATTCCAAGTCTTAAACATGAATGATTAATAAAGAATATATTAGCATATGGCCCGACTGTTCATGGAAACTATCCTATTTCATTGATTCTAAGATGCAGTTTTTTCCCTCACATTTTAACATTTCTGAAGTTGGATGTACTATAATTGATGGTATCTGAGAATAACAGTTGGAAACTTCTTTTCTTATGATACATCAAGTAATGGGCACTTTTATGATTGATGGTGCTTCAGGTTCTATACTCCCCAACTGGAGGAGCTCAGGATCTTAGAGGCTCCATTAAAGATAATTATGCCATGTAAATCTCCTATAATAGAACTTATAAAAGCTTTCTTTTCATTCTGACCAGCTTGGAAATCACCAAGATTGGCATGGACAAAACCCCTCAAAGTTGCTATATAACTTCTAAATCACCTAGTTGGCTCTAGTCTATCAAAAGTATTGAGATTTTACCAAAAAGGATAATTTCCTAGATTGTGCCAAGAGAGTTAGCCTGAGCTCAGACATTAAGATGGGTCAACATCTCAAAAGGAGAAAGACGAGACAAAGGATATATAATTAAGAAACGAGTCATTGCATTGTCAAGATGCAAGGCAATAGATCAATAATTGGAAAAGGACCCACTGTAGTCAAAGTCTGTCTCCTGGAGAATCTTAAGGCAGCTTCCAAGGAAGTTCAGACTTACATCAAGTCCTCTACTTGTTACATATTTAGTCACAAAATCAAAACCTTCTAGGGGCCCAGGGATCTTTTTCTAAAAATAAAGTGCTCTATCTACCTTTTAAAAATATGTAAAACATATTTTAAAAAACTCTCCATGTTCAGACGGTAGAAATCTGGGCAAGTTCCCATCCTAATGAATACTGGAGAACCTCCAAGAAAAGACCATACTGAAGAGCTGTACCCTTGCCAAAGGGGGAGCACTCCTCCAGAAACGATAAAGACCTGTCACCGCTCCTTTCCCTGCAAGGAAGCACAGTGCTCACACCATCAGAAAGTTGTAAACTGACTTTTTACAAGTCCACGGTGAACGAAACATTAGTACTAAATCTATTGGTTGAACATTAATTTTAATTGAGGCTTTAATGAGGAACTTTGAGACTGGTTCCCTCTGGCTGCGTGTGACTGCAGTGTTTTGGAAGAACAGCAGAGGGCACTTCAAGACTAGCATATTTTAAAAGCACTTTTTCTCAATCTACGTGCCCTTTGGTAGCGATCCAGCAAGTTCAAAGTATGTGAATCTGGGTCTAGCCATTTATCATGCGTTTTCTGTTGCAGCTTCACAGGGTCGTTCAAGAACTATGACTAATGTCTTCAACAACTATGTCTTCAACTATGACATGCCTTCAACAAACCTACGGTTGTAGCTTATGCATACATGTACTTGCTTTAAAAAACTGTTGCCAAATTAGCAATAAAAAATTTAAAAAAGGTTATCAAGGCATCACAGTAGTCTCGGCTCATGTTGTAAACTACGTTATATTCCAGTCCTTGGAAAAACTTTAATCAAAAGGCTATACACGTTACAGATGTAGAAAACAAATTTATGGTTACCAGGGGATAAGGTGGGAGGGATAAATTGGGAGACTGGAATTGATATATACACACTACTATATATAAAATAGATAACTAATAAGGACCTACTATATAGCACAGGGAACTCTACTCAATATTCTGTAATGGTCTACATGGGAAAAGAATCTAAAAAAGAGTGGATATATGTATATGTATAACTGACTCACTTTGCTGTACACTTGAAACTAACACAACATTGTAAATCAACTATACTCTAATAAAAATCTTTTAAGAATGGTTATACACTTAGTAAAATGCCTTCACTTTCTTCTTTAAGAATTTTTTAAAAACTGAGATATAATTTACATATAACATTGTAATGGTTTCTTCACCTTCTTCTCAATCCTAAGGGATGATGGTTTTGTTTTAAAAATTGAACTTTTTTCCTAGAACCAGAGCTCACTTGCGAATGAGAAATCTTTTGCTCTTTATTATGCTAAACACTAACATCTTCATGAACATGCTAAATTCTAAAACCTTTGTATTTGGTTCATATTGAGAGGAACATATTTCTTCGCTTGTATAAATAAATCTGGTTTGGTAATAAAAACATTTTAAGCATTTGAAAACCCAGAGCAGAGGTGGGGGACTATAACACAAACTGTGATAAGGACTGTAAAACTCTCATTTTAAACTGTTTGTAAAAAATATATTAGCTTGTGGCCCATGTATATGTGTTAAATAAACTGCATATGCTTTAAATCTCACATTAGATAAATGCACATTTATTTATAAACACGCAAAGAGAGTCAATCATTTGAGTCTATAGTCATCACAACTTTGCATTTAACAAACTGTAAAAGGAAGCAATGGTGTAGAAATTAGTCAGCGGAGAATCTAAAAATGCAGGAACCAAAGAAATTCATAAGTTTTCTTTCTATGGCAATGATACCCAAGATGCTTTCGATATCATCTTGAATAAGAACACTGTGCAACAGCATAGGATAAATGCATTGTGGATCTATGGGAATTGCTACAAAATATGATGGTTTTAATATATTTGAATTCTCCATGACTGCACGATAGAGTGGGTTTTTATTTCATCTAAAGGAAAAGATGCCTATTCTGTAAGCGAATGACTATTCTGTAATACATGCTTTGTAAACTTTAAATATAAAATAATTTAAACATAAGAGAATAAAAGAATTTTTGGTGAATTGTTCTGTTCTCAAGGAGCAAAGCATGTAACTATATTTACTGATGAATTAGAGCATTCAACTAAAAATATTGAGAAAGTCAATAATTGTGATACCTAGCAACTTCTTGATAATATTTAGGTATAATTTTCTAAAGACATTTTTCTCCAGTTACTTTAGCAAATACAACAAGCTGAATAAGGGACAGGGTAAGTTTCTGTTCAAGTAAACTTGAGTTTGCTGCCTCAGTTCTAAAGCAGATGGTATAGTCTGAACACAGGTCCTTCCCGCACAAATATATCTCTAGGCACCAGGGTTCAAATAGTTCCACTAATAAAGGTACTACTTTGAGAAGGGGCATGCCATTAAATTGATTACTTGTATCGGCACAGCATTTTATGTTTACATGTGCATTTCATGTTTATTAAACACTTGTGCCTTATCATATCCCTATCGGGGTACTAGGTTGGACCTTATAACAGGTCCCTTTGGTTTAGAAACTGATACAATGAACTATACAGGATGAATCTTGAACTCAAGTTTGCAGACTACTTAAAGCTTATCTGTTAGTCACAAGGACAGTGCTGTAATACATAAGCTCCCAGTAATTCACTAGTAGGCCTCCTTTTAGTAGTTTTGGCCGTAGTTCCCCAGCACAAAAAAAATTTGAGGAAATCAGGACCAAGCCAGGACAATTTGGAAAAGAATTAAGAGGACTGCTACATGACAGTATCAGCGTTGGGTCAGGGGGCATCCATGGGTGGTGGTTAATTCAACAAATGTCTACTGATCCCTATTTGATGTTAGACACCATGCTAGGTGTTGAAGGTAGCACGAAGACCCGGGCATCTAAGGATAGGGGACACAAAAGAAGGGGAAGAAGCAGAAGGGACAAATCATGTCTATTTCACCAATTTTCATGTTGGTAGTCTGGATGTACTTTTGTGGATTTCAGGAATTATATTGTACCTACAAGGCGGGGGCGGGCGGGGGGAACATTCCAGCTCCTCCCAAAGAATTTAATTTGCAACCAGGAAAATTTACTATCTAGAGGAATATGAATTAATAACACTTGTCTAGATAAATAAATACATAATGATAAAATATTTTGCAATACAATATAATAAAGATATTTTGTAATACCAATTTGTATCTTCCATGTACCAAATATCTCAAAAGACAAGAGATATTTTTTCTTTTATTAATACTGCCTGCTGATTACATGGATGCAATATCATCTCCTCTTTTACTTAAGAAACCAAATGTCAAAGAAAATTAAGACATTAAAATTACATAACTGGCCTTAAATAACTGGCACTGAAATAATTATTTAGTTTCCTTTCCTAATGCCCATTTTGCTATGCTCATCACCACCCAGCAGTCACACATTTTTGGTTGCATGTGTGGCAATTTTTAAGAGTCTGAAAACGATATCCTATGTAAAATAAGTAAGGTCTTAAAATGTTATATCCTTCTACCTTTGATCCTATCTTTACATTCTTCCTTTGGACAAATAAAACAATACGTAAATTCACAGCAAGTAATGAGCAGCTCTTATTACCTAGGTATCAAAAGCTGAGAAGAGTAGATACTTTTTCTTTAACCCCTGTGGGGGATTAGTTTTCAATTGATTAAGAAAATCCTTCTGTTCCCCAGTGAAGTTAGGTGCAAATAAAACTAACACAAGCAAAACCAAAACAAGAAGAAAGATCCTGTTTAAGAGGCTCTTATGTTGAGGTGGTTTTCAGAACTGAGAGTTGTTAACCAGCACCTGAGATCCAGGAAAACCTCAGAAGGAGTGTTAAAGTTAGAAGCAGTACTTTTAATAGAGCCCCTAGAATGGCGGAAAACATCATGAAATACAAGGCTGCTTTCAAAATGACTCTCAGCAATCTCCATTAACGCAAGCATGATTTCCCCCATGCAGAAAGGAAACATCAATAATCATCTTCCTTAAATAATCCTGACAGAAAGCTAGATGCCTGGCTCTCTAGACAAGACAGGCGGGTCTGCATAGATACATGCTTCGTGGTATAAGGATAACGTGGACCAGCTCAGAAACACCAAGCAACCCAAATTATAATAATCATGCTGTGAAGAACACTAAGGATCAATGTATGTCTTTACCCAGGTGATTAAAAATATCTTATAGGAGCTTCCCTGGTGGCGCAGTGGTTGAGAGTCCGCCTGCCGATGCAGGCGACACAGGTTCGTGTCCCGGTCCGGGAGGATCCCACATGCCGTGGAGCGGCTGGGCCCGTGAGCCATGGCCGCTGAGCCTGCACGTCCGGAGCCTATGCTCCGCAATGGAAGAGGCCACAACAGTGAGAGGCCCGCGTACCGCAGGAAAAAAAAAAAAAAAGTTATAAATGGACTTCTCTTGTGGCGCAGTGGTTAAGAATCTGCCTGCCAATGCAGGGGACACGAGTTTGAGCCCTGGTCAGGGAAGATCCCACATGCCGCGGAGCAACTAAGCCCATGCGTCACAACTACCGAGCCTGTTCTCTAGAGCCCGTGCGTCACAACTACTGAGCCCGTGTGCCACAACTACTGAAGCCCACGCGCCTAGAACCCGTGCTCCCCAACAAAGAGAAGCCACTGCAAGGAGAAGCCCGGCACCGCAACAAAGAGTAACCCTCGCTCACCGCAACTAGAGAAAGCCCGTGCACAGCAACGAAGACCCAACGCAGCCGTAAATAAATAAATAAATAAATAAATAAATAATCTTACAAAAACTAAGCAGAAATTATTTCCCCATTGTACTCATGAAAATGAGGAAGCTTGGGAGACTGCTTTCAAAGCACTAATAAATAATACCAGATGTATCTGCATGGGGACAAAGGGTGAGGAATTCAGGGAAAGGAAAAAACAACTCAAAAAACGAAAAACATAAAACCTTGCAACATTTATTTATCAGACAATTTCCTGTTTCCCTGTTTCTGTATAAATAGATCTTTGTCAGTGTCCACTTTCAGACATGATTAGGATACAGTAACACACTTCATTTGGAAATAATTCCTTTCTTTTCATTGTCGTTCAAGTGAATTTAATTGATTAATTGTATTTATACTAAGTTCTATTGACAGCAGAGGGCCTGCTCAGGTCTGGGTGGTGGAAGGAGGGGGAAGACAAAGACAATGGCCCTTCCCCGAGCTTTTGGTGCAGCCCAGCGCTGTGTTCGGAAGTTTGCACAGTGGAAGACAATGCAGGTACCTCTGGTTCACCCTCAGAGACAATGTACACATCTGTCTATTAACACATGGTAGGTAGTTACATTTAGAGGAAATGTACTGACACATCTGTGTATCCTGCATCTAAGTAAATCTCTTGGCAGTTAGCATCTAAACCAGCGGAGAGGGAAGTGGACCAAAGGATTTCAACGCAAAAACACAAACAGTTTCATACATATTGGGTGGTTTGAAAACAAACCCATCACCTTGCATTTATTTTTAAGTAGAAATGCATCTTACAATTTGTAACTGTTGCACCATTTCTTCTCGGTAGGCTAGTTCCCTTTTCATTTGATCCTGAAAATTATCTGGTAGGAGTGAGAAACAGAGAAATAGATTAATTAAAGTGCAAAATCTACTATTGGTATATTTAGTAAAAATATTACTGACAGTCCCATAGAACCGCCCCCCCCTTTGGTATTTTTAAAAGTAAACACTGTAAGTTGTTTGAAGTGATGTTTTCTTCAAGACTGTGATTTAATCAGAATAGATAGTAAATTCTGAGAGGCTAAGGTTTATCTCTTATATTTCACAATATCACATAGCCCGTCTAGTATAATCCCTTGCACATAATAACTACTCAGGAATGTTGAGGGCAAGCATATTCTCTAGTCTTTGAACACTTGAGCCAGTCACAGTACTGAGAGCTTCCACTGTCTTCAGAAGTCTAGTGCTAGTGACGGGGTGAAGCTCAGACAAAGCCGATCATAGGAAACATGGACCCTTGTGCACGCGAACCCTTGGGTGATAAGACGTAGGTCTGTTAGATGTGCCTGCCTGGCTTCACTGCAGCTCATCTCACGTCTAAGAGAGTGAGTGATAAATGTATTCTGACTGGACTCTCCCAACCTGCAAACTCTCCCACCCGGTAGCAGCCTTATCTTACGTCCTCCTTGGGCCTATGTGGTTCTACAGACCTTGCCTCAATCTGAGAAGGAAGGAATTTTAAGACATATTGTGCAAAATATCTTTGCCATTCTACATATTGATCATTTTTATTGTATTTCCAGAAAGGAATGACTTCTTAATGTGCATCTTATTCTTTCATCTTCTCCATAACTTCAGCTTTTTCTGCTTTAAATGAGAAATTAACATGATTTCATATGAATCTGTGGTGGATGGTCAGGGCAGTGGCTTCAAGAAACCAGAAACTCTGTCATCATCTCTTCTCTTCCTTTCATCTCTACAGCCAACTGGTGTATGAGTCCTGTATATTCTACCTCCACCCTCTCCTCTCTTTGCCATTGTTACCTCCCAAATGCAGACACCTCTTCCCTGAAAAGTTTCCCAACTGACCATCTGGCCTCCAAATCCCCTTCATTCTCCTGCTTAAAACTCCGTGAGGGTTTCCCATCGCTTTCAAGGTAATAAACCCTTTACCACTCATGAGATTCTGGATACTTAGAAACTAAAAACATTGTTCTTTTTATTTTTTTGATCTATCTTTCTACACTATTTGAATTCTTTCCCCAACCTCAAGCATGTATTTTTTTTTTTTTTTTTTTTT